AGCATGTGGTATCCAGGATCGAACCCGGGTACTTGCAATTGCCAGGCAGATGCTTAGGCTGCCAAGCTGCCTCCCCAGCCCCTCAAAGTAGAAAGTATTTTTAGAAGACTGGAGATGTAGCTCCATGTGAAGGTCCTGTTTTCAATCCCCAGTTCTGAGAAGAAAAAAGAAGAAAGGAGAAACAGGGGGCAGGGCTGGCTGTGAGAGACAGAGGGTGGGGTGGTAGGTCTGGGGTGCCAGGAAGAGGGCCCTGAGATCTGAGGTTCTGGCCCAGGTGGGGATGGGGTGAGAGGTAGAGAAGGCCCGGGGCGCCCACCTCATGCCTCTCCTGCCCACCCCACAGCATGCTGATCCGGTTTATTTCCAACCCCGAGGCCCCCTCCTGGTGGGGCTTTCTGCTGGCCGGGCTGATGTTTGTTAGTGCCATGATGCAGACCCTGGTCTTGCACCAGTATTACCACTGCCTCTTCGTGTCAGCCCTGAGGATCCGCACGGGGGTCATTGGCATCATCTACAGGAAGGTGAGCAGCAGCCGGGTGTGGCTCTGAGGCTTCCCCAGGCCGGTTCAGGCCAGGCCATGCTGTATTGTCCCCTCCCTGTAGGCGCTGATCATTACCAACTCGGCCAAGCGCCAGTCCACTGTGGGAGAAATGGTCAACCTCATGTCAGTGGATGCTCAGCGCTTCATGGACGTCTTCCCCTCCCTCAGCCTGCTGTGGTCAACGCCACTGCAGGTCATCCTGGCCATGTACTTCCTCTGGCAGGTGACTCTATAGCCTTAACCTGGCTCTCCTGCTGCAGCAGGGACAAGAGGGGGTCAGACGGGGACACGTACCGAGAGCTTCCCTAGATGACGAGGGGCATGGCTGCCAGCATCTGCAACTGAAACTTCCCTGCCTGTGCTATGACCTGGCTCCAAAAGCTAGGGGCCTGGGACTTGGAGGCAGCATGGGTGTGGCTCCACGGTCTGTCTGTCTGTCTGTCTGTCTGTCTGTCTGTCTGTCTGTCTGCGCTGGCCTTCTGGTATGTCCTGACCGACTTCTAGGTCTGCAGCCTGTCTTCACTATCCGCCAGCTGTTGTCCCCACCAGTATCACAGTCGTTCTGATTTTCTGCCCTGTCTAGCTGACTGGGGTCTTTGCCTCTTGTCCGCCCCACTTCAGGTCTCTGTTGGGCTCTGCCTGTTGACTTGGGTTATCTGTCCGTCAGCCTCACTGACCTCCCTGTGCCTCCCCAGATCCTGGGTCCCTCCATCCTGGCTGGGGTGGCACTCATGGTCTTGCTGATCCCGATCAACAGCACCGTGGCCATGAAGATGCGCGCTTACCAGGTGGGTGCTGCCAGAGGTGAGCGCCTGGCCAGTCACTTCCTTGTTTCTGAGTCTGGGCACTCACAGGGCACTTGCACAAACCTTAGCTCCCTCTGCCTCCCCAGAGACCAAGGCCAGAGGAGATTACCGTAGTCCAGAGCGCGGAAGTGCAGGAACCTGAACCTGGGCCTGATGGGAACTTTGCCTACCTACCGTCCTGTGCATAGGTTGGCATAGATGGCCCATCATGTAGTCCACTTGCAAACCCTTACAGGCAAGAGTAGTACGCAATGCTTCGCACTGCATGAAGACTGAAAGACCAGCCGCCTAAGCCCACCCACCAGGTTCCCTCTGACCTTAGAAGTCCTCGTGCCCTTGAGGAGGCCACTCCTCAGCCAAGCTGGCCTTCTCTTTTCTCCAGGAACTAAGTTCTGTGTAATTCTGTGGGGGTTTTCTGTTGGTTCTGTTCTGTTTTGTTGTTCTCGCTCTTGCTCTGCTCTCTTTTCTGTGGCCTGCTCAGCCTGCCCTGGGGGCAGGGCTGGCCCAACATGTGGTGTGGGGGAGGGAACCACCCTCCCTGTGGCTTGCCTAACTTGCCTAAGCAGGCGTTTTAGGCTGCTGAGCTATCTCTCCAGCTCCTGTTTTGTTTTTTGAGACAGGGCCATGCTATATAATTCAGGACGTTTTTGGGGAGGGGGGCTCAGGCCGCCACATGGATGGGTCTGGTGCGGCTTGTGGAGCTGGGGATCGAACCGTGGCCCCCAGCACCTGAATGAGTTTGCCCAAACAAGTGCTTTAAACAACTGAGCTAACCAGCAAGCCCCCAAAAGTCAAAAAGGATGTTTTTTTTTTTTTTGTTTTTGTTTTTGTTTTTTGTGGAACTGGGGATTGAACTCAGGCCTTCCTGCTTGCCAGGGAAGCACTTATTCTACTGAGCCATCTCCCCGGCCCCAAAAAGGATTCTTTAAATTGATTTTTTTTTCCTACTCTTTTTTTAAATAAAAAATTATATTCACTTAGAAGCATTCAGAATGTCAACAAAACAGTTGCAATTTTTTTTTTTTACAATTGCAGAGTAGTATTCAGTTAACAGAACAATAATTATTTCGTATAAGCTGCATCAGAGACAATTGAAGATGAAAAGCTACCGGCCCATACATAACTAATTGGTGCTCTGCACCAACGTGAACCTGCTTCAAATTTCCATGCCGATCTCTTCTTGGCCTTTTGGCTAAGATCAAGTGTAAATTTCCATGCCGATTTAGAACCCTATACTGTACCAGGCAAAGTTAGTGGCTATTGAAAATACCACCAGGACAGGGCCTTTTTTTTTTTTTTTTTTTTTTGTGGAACTAGGGATTGAACTCAGGCCCTTGCACTTGCCAGGCAAGCACTTATTCGACTGAGCTATCTCCCTGGCCCAACAGGGCTATCTAAAGACACATTTGGTAGTGTGTTAACTATATATATTAAAAAAAAAAAAAAAAAAAAAAAAAACACTATACAGTTTAAAAACAAATCTTACACAGCCTTACATTTCAATTTTTTTTTTTTTTTCAAAAAGAGTGAGTTGTGTACAGGGGGGTTAAATGCTTTTTATAGACAAAAAAAAAACTGCGCTAGAACCAACTTATTCATCATCATCCTCGTCTTCGTCCTCCTCATTCTCTTCATCTTCTTCCTCCTCTTCATCCTCATCTCCCTCCTCCTCCTCCTCTTCCTTCTTTTTCTTGCTTTTTCAGCCTTCACGACTCCCTTTTTGCTGCATCAGGTCTTCCTTTAGCCCAGGAGGCAGCGATGTCCTTTTCATACTTCTCCTTCAGCTCGGCAGCCTTCTTCTCATGTGGCTGCTTGTCATCTGCTGCAGTATTATTCCACATTTCTCCAAGTTTCTTTGCAACATCACAATGGAGAGGCCAGGATGTTCTCCTTTGATTTCTGGGCAGTACTCAGAACAGAATAAGAAGAAGGCTGAAGGAGGCCCCTTGGGTGCATTGGGATCCTTGAACTTCTTTTTTGTTTCTCCTTTAGCAGGAATATAAATTTTCATTTCTCTTTCATAATGAGCCTTGTCCACTTTTTTCAACGTTTTCAAATTTTCCTTTTTCTTTAGCAGACATGGTCTTCCACCTCTCTGAGCACTTCTTAGAAAACTCTGAGAAGTTAACGGAAGCATCTGGGTGCTTCTTCCTGTGCTCCTCTCGGCAAGTTTGCACAAACAATGCATAGGATGACATCTTGCCTCTCGGCTTCTTAGGATCTCCTTTGCCCATGTTTACTTGTTTTCCTCAGCGAAGTACAGAGTCACCCAGTGCCCGTCCGGTTCTCACTTGCCCTGGCGCTGCCTCTATGTTGCTCAATGTACTGCAATGGCTCCTTTTTCTTTTTTCTTTTTTTTTTTTTTTTTTTTTGGTACTGGGGATCAAACCCAGATAGCCACTGAGCTATCTCCCCAGCCCCAATGCTATATAATTCAGGCTGGCCTTGAACTCATCATGTAGCTTTGTTTTTGTTTTTGTTTTTTCTTTTATTTTTTTGGTGGAACCAGGGATTGAACTCAGGACCTTGCACTTGCCAGGCAAACACTTAATCTACTGAGCTATGTCCCCGGCCCACCATGTAGCTTTGGCTGGCCCCAAAATCACGGCAGTTTTCCTGCCTCAGCCAAGGGCTGGGATTACAGGTGCACCATCACCATTCTGTGCTCCTGTGGGCCACCACACACAGTCCCCTCTAACACTCTTCTACCCTGCAGGCCTAATGCCTTTTCTCCCTTACTTTGAAGTAGCCTAGCTTCCTCTAGAGGTCTGGAGGGACCCAGGAACCTGCCTTGCCCCATTGTTCTCTTACATAGCACCCTCTTATTTCCCTTTAGAGTACACATCATAATTTGTGATTAAGCATTTATTCAGGTAATTATTCCTCATTGCCTGCCTCCCCCATCCAACTGTCAGCTGTGGGAGGCAGAGTAGGCACTCAATATGCAGGGTTGAATGGATAAATTAGTGTGAAGCCCCGCACATCGGATTGGGCCTGAGGGAACGCAAACACAGGCAATCCAGACCCTTGGGAAGCTCTCAGTCTAACTGGCGCTACGGACGGGGACAGCAGTGGGAACTGTGGGAAGTACAGTATGCTTGTAGAGCCCAGGTGAGGGGACCAAGGATGCTGGCCAAGATGATCCACAGTGGTAGCTCTGAGAGTGGAGCTGGATTTTCCAGGTGGAGGAGGCAGGGAGGAGGAGATGAAGGTGGCACCCCAGGCCTGGCAGGCAGGGGAATGACATGCAGAGATGGCAGCAGCGCACACAGATGTGGCAGCGTAGACCTCGGGCAGGAGGTTGGGGAGGGGACAGGCTGAGTCACTGCCACTTGCTGCCCTGCACAGGCTCAGCAGATGAAGCTGAAGGACTCACGCATCAAACTGATGGCCGAGATCTTGGGAGGCATCAAGGTGCTGAAGCTGTACGCCTGGGAGCCCAGCTTCCTGGAGCAGGTGGAGGGCATCCGGAAGGATGAGCTCCGGCTGCTGCACAAGGGCACCTACCTCCACGCCATCTCCACCTTCATCTGGGTCTGCACCCCCTTCCTGGTGAGCCTGCTGCTGCGGCTGGGCACCTACCTCCCGCTTGCCCAGCCCAGGTCCCCCTGACTTCCACTCCCATGCTCCCCAGGTGAGCCTGATCACCCTTGGGGTGTTCGTGTGTGTGGACCAGAACAACGTGCTGGATGCCGAGAAGGCCTTTGTGTCCGTGTCCTTGTTCAATATCTTAAAGATACCCCTCAACATGCTGCCCCAGTTAATCAGTGGCCTTACCCAGGTAACCTGGGCCGCGCTGGGCTTCTGCTAGAGTGAGGGCAGGGGGTGAGGTCAAGAAAAGGTCGTGTAGGGCCAGGGGATGATCAGTGAGAGCTTCTGGAGTAAGAGGAGGCTACGAGGGTCGTTTGGAGATAGCCCCTGAACTCCATCTGGGACCTTATCTTTGAGAAATGGGAGCCATGGAAGACTCAGTCGTGGGAGAGGCCCACGAAGTGGTGAATGGGCCCTTGGTGATTAAGGGACGACTCTACCTAGCCCAGGAAGTTGGAGACCAAGCAAGGGTAGCAGGGGTAGGGGTGGGAGAAGCAGCCTCTGGTGCTGATTCACACCCTCCTGCAGGCCAGTGTGTCTCTAAAACGGATTCAGCATTTCCTGAACCAAGAAGAGCTTGACTCCCAGTGTGTGGAAAGAAAGATTATCTCCCCAGGTCCCGAAAGCTCCCCACCCCACCCCACCCCACCCCACCCCCAGGCTGCCCTCACCCGACCCTACTCCAGAGCAGCAGCGACTATTCCAAGCTTCCTCCTCCCTCTCCCTACTCTTTGCTGCCCCTTCTGCTCTGCCCTTCCCCCAGGGATCCTGCCCCTGTCCTCCTCCCCCAGGCCCCCGCTTCCCACCCTTGGGCTCCCTGACTGTGCACCTTGGTCCTCCCAGGCTACGCCATGACCATTCATAGTGGCACCTTCACCTGGGCGCCGGACCTGCCCCCCACCCTGCACAGGTACTCAGCAGGGCCTTTTCCTCACATCCTCCACCAGTAGTGCTGGAAGGGAAGGGCTTCTTCTTGCCAGGGGGACACCTGGGAGGGAGGAAGGGTTGGGTCTGTCTGTCGTAGCCTGGGGACCAAATGGGATGCCAGCCCGTGACCAGGCCTCCTTGTTCCCAGCCTCAATATCCAGATCCGGAAAGGGGCCCTGGTGGCCGTGGTGGGGCCTGTGGGCTGCGGGAAGTCCTCACTGGTATCTGCTCTACTGGGAGAGATGGAAAAGCTGGAAGGCACGGTGTCCGTGAAGGTGAGCATCTAGACACTCACTCCCGGGAAGGGCATGATGAGTCAGGCCACGGGCAAGACCCAAAGTGACCTTCTCTTGTGGCCAGGGCTCTGTGGCCTACGTGCCCCAGCAGGCATGGATCCAGAACTGCACGCTTCAGGAAAATGTGCTGTTTGGCCAAGCCATGAACCCTAAGCGCTACCAGCAGGCTCTGGAGACCTGCGCCCTACTAGCTGACCTGGAGGTGCTGCCTGGTAGAGACCAGACGGAGATCGGAGAGAAGGTACAGGCTCCCTTCCCACCCCTGAGGAGGCTGCACGGGCACCTGCCCTCTGCCCACTTCACCCTGGCCTGGGTCACATTCACATAACATCATGCACAGCTCCATGCCAGGCCCTGGGGAAGCAGGCCTATGACCAGGGAAGGCCGACTCGGGATAGGCAGGGCTTTAGAATTCCCTGGAGCCAGGCTAAAGGCCTGTGCATGGAACAGGGAAGGCACCGAAGGGAGATCTGCATGAAGAAGGGCATCCCACAAGTTGAATCTTAACAAATGAGAGAGAGAGGGCTGGCCAGATAGCTCAGCAGATTAAAGTGCCTGCTTAGGTAGATGCAGGGACTGGGGTTCGAACTCTGGCCTGTCATGCTGGCCCCACCCATGCTGAGATGGCGATTGATACTGGGCATGATGGTGCATCTATAATATAATCCCTCTTAATCCCAGCACTTGGGAGGCTGAAAACCAGAGGAACACTATGAATCCAATCTGTGTAGTGAGACCCCATAGACCCTGCACTAAATGCATAAAAAAAGATAGAGAGGGGCTGGGGAGATGGCTCGGTGGAATAAGTGTTTCCCTAGCAAGCACAAGGGCCTGAGTTTAATCCCCGGTTCCAGAGAGAGAGAGAGACAGAGAGAGACAGAGAGAGAGAGAAAGAGAGAGAGAGAGAGAGAGAGAGAGAGAGAGAGAGAGAGAGAGACCATCATCCATCCATCCATCCATTAGATTTTTGTGAAGCGTCTATTGTATGCCAGACAATATTGCACCATAACAAAATCAAGAGCCTAAAACCTCTGCCTTCATATAAATACCTTGCATTCCACCGAGGAAGAGAGACAATAAGTAAGATAAATAAAGTCCAGAACACTTGAGGTCATGCTGAAGAGAAATAATCAAGTAAGGCAGGAACACAGGATAAGTGTGGGGCTGGGCTTTTAGAGTAGCTTGGGAATGGGAGCCTGAGCAAAAAGGGGATCAAGTCCTTGTAGGAAAAGTGGAGCCTTGTATGGGGCTGCGGAGCCCTGAGAAGGAAGCTCAGAGTCTTAGGTAGGAGAGGGGCTGAGGGGAAGGGCAGTAGGCCAGCCAGCAAGGAGCAGCAGTTAGGAAGAGAAAGTGACCCACAGGGGCACTGGGCAGCCCAGTCATTCAGGGCCTTGCTGGCCGCTTGAACTGTGGCAGAGAGCCACAGAAGCCATCTGAAGGCCTGGACTAGATGAATGTCCCCATGCTTGCCTGCCTGGGGGTGAGAAAAATGGGAGAGGGTACAGGTTGAGGTAGGGCCATAAAGACTTTGGTTAAACCAGACGTGGTGGTGCACGCCTGTTATCCCAGCACTCAGGATGCTGAGGCAAGAGGATTGCTGTAAATTCAAGGTCAGCCTGGACTATTTAGCAAGACAACTGTCCCAAAAAAAAAAAAAAAAAAGGCTTTGGCTAAGATTTTGGCCTTTTCTCTGAAAAACATGAAACATGAGGTTTTTAAAAATTAATTAATTAATTAACTTTGTGTTAAGCAATTTTGTTGTATTTATGGTGCTGGGGTTACTAACCCAGGGCCTCAAGCATGCTGGGCAAGCGCTCTAGCACTGAGTTACACCTCAGCCTTTTAAAAACAAATTCCAGCCAGGATCTCAGTAAATTGCCCAAACTTGGCTCAAATTTGCAATTTTTCTACCTCAGCCTCCCACATAGCTGAGA